CGACGATGGGACTGGCCGGGTGTGTAAGCTGCTGAAGAGTCTCTACAGGCTGAAGCAGTCGCCGCTGCTGTGGTACAGGGCACTCGACGGAGTGCTGCTGGGCGCTGGCTGGAAGAAGAGCCAGGTCGACGAGGCGCTCTACTTCAAGGCCAGCGATGACGGAGTGACCTGCTGGGTGCTGGTCTACGTCGACGACTTGCTCGCCGCCAGCAGCAGCCCCGCGATGCTTAAGGAGCTAAAGGGGCTGTTAGAGGCTGCCTTCGAGCTGCGCGAGATTTCGCCGATCGTTAAGTACCTCGGGCTGGAGATCGTGCGCGACAGGCCAGCGAGGAGGCTATGGCTTCACCAGCAGGGCTACGTCGATAAGCTGCGCAAGCGCTTCATCGACGAGGAGCAGGGTGGTCGAGTCCCAAAGACGCCGGTCTCGGTCGATGCCTACGCCGAGCTGACATTCGACGACGAGGAGGCGCAGGAGCGCGAGGAGGAGGAGTACCGACAGAAGGTTGGCTCGCTGCAGTTCGCGGCGACGACGACGAGGCCGGACATCGCGTTCGCCTGCAGCAAGTTGGGGAGCGGCCTCACGGTGAGGAGCGGCTAGCATTGGCGTGAGGTCGACCGCTGCCTCGCCTACCTCGCTGACACCCGCGACACTGCCCTGGAATTCGGCGGTGGACCAGAGTCGCTGGAGCTGATCGGCTACGTGGACGCAGACGACGCGGGCGACAAGCAGAACCGGACGAGCACGGGAGGCTACGTGTTCGTCTACAGAGGGGCCACCGTCTCCTGGTCGAGCTCGCGCATCAAGTGCGTGACATTGTCATCGACAGAGTCGGAGTACGTGGCGGCCACAGATGCAGGCAAGGAGGGACGCCGACTTCGTTTCCTTCTTGCGGAATTCAAGCTACTCGACGCTAGGAAGCTGACCGTCCTCCGCGTCGAAAACAAGTCGGCAATCGCGGTCGCTGAGGGCCTGGGGCTGACGGGCAACCTCAAGCACATGGAACGACGCTATGCCTAGCTGCAGTACATGGTGAGGCGCGGGAAATTCGTACTGAAGTACATCCCGACCACCGAGCAGCAGGCAGATTTCTTGACGAAGGCGCTGCATTTTCCGGCTTTCAACCGGTGTTCTGTCGCCATCGGCCAAGTTCGCCTGGATGACGTCGGCGACGACGATGATGATGTGCAGCAGTAGGTGCCGTGCCCTCTTTGCACGGCTGGTGCGGTGACGGCGTGCTGTGTGAGGGGTGCACGCCGAGGACGAATTTTCTCCGTAGTGTGCTGCCGTGTGGGCTGGGGGCCCAAGCGTGAGCGCGGAAGGGGAGTGTTAACGGAAGTGAAATGTTGGCCCCGCCCTCGCTTGGGCAACGCCGACAACTTGGTTGGATGTATGGGAGTAGCAGCCGACCATCCACAGTGGGAGAGCTGCTCGACGGGTTTCGTCGAGCTGCAGGGGACCGCTGTGGTGTTGCTGTCGACCAGGGAGCTCGACAGCTGCAATTGACTGGTCTGGGCGACGAGTGGGCCGTCGACCAGGAGGGACAGTTCGACCGGGAGGTCGACAGAGCGGTCCGTCGACCTGACAAGTGAGCAGCGGTCGACGAGGGGAGCTCGGCGACAACAGCTTACACTTCTGGTCGACGGAAGGGGTCTGTCGACTAGGGGGTAGCTCGACGGGAGCTGTGGTCAACTAGAGGGACCCGGTGGTCGACCAGAGACACTTGGTGGTCGACCAGAGCACCTGGGGTTGTCCAGGTCGACCGGGTAACCTGCTCGACGAGTTCTGCGGAGGCACGCGAACGTCGTCAAGGTCGCGATGGCGAAGGCGACTTCGGGTTGATATCCCGAAGTCGATGTGGCTCTTCAGGCGCAGACAACAGCTGACGAATGCACAACGGTGCGATTCGGGCCAATCGTCTGCGCGTATATGCGGGCGTGCGCACTGCTGTCTTCTACAGGGTAACGCTGGACAGTTGCTCTGCTGCAGCGTTGGCACACCGTCGACCTGCTATGTTGGCAGGTCGCCTTTCTGCAGTGCTGTCGCGGCTCCTCTACGCAACGCTGGCAGGAGGTCGACCATGCTGTGCTATCTGTCGACCAGGCTAGCTGCAGAGTTGCTAGGTGACTGATGTAGTCATCCTTGTCATTGTCTGTTTGAACAATTCTGCAATTCCCACTTTGCTAGTGAAACTCTTGCCGATTCCTCCCGTGATTGTGCAAGCACTAAGGAACTAGACAAAGCTAAGATCACTCCTAGAAATTCGTGCCAACCCCAAGAGTCTAGCTCACCACCGTTGTAGAGTTTATCTCCTCAACACCTGCACTGAACTGGGTGAGTTGCGCAACTATCTTGGCTTGCAGATCACCCGGGACAGAGCACGGTGCACCATCACCCTGACTCAGTCTGACATGGTGCACCAGGTCCTTCAGCGCTTCGGCTTCCGGTACTCCTCGCAACAGTCCACTCCTCTGCCTACCGGTCACTCGCTCTTAGCTCCACCTTCGGACGAGTCCGTAGAGCCGAGTGCCCCATATCCAGAGCTTGTGGGCTGCCTCATATACCTGATGACCTGCACTCGACCTGACCTTGCCTACCCTCTTAGCATCTTGGCACGCTACGTTGCGCCCGGGAGACGCCGACCAGAGCACTGGGAGGCTGCTAAGAGGGTGTTGCGCTACTTGCGCAATACATCAGGCATGGGGCTCGTGCTTGGAGGATGGGGTCCAGTTGTCCTCACTGGACACGCAGACGCTTCTTGGGTTGACGACTTGACTACGCAGCGGTCGTCACAGGGTTACACTTTCAGCCTTGGTTCCGGCTCTGTTTCTTGGCGGTCTACCCGCTCGTCCTCTGTTCTCATTTCCAGTTGTGAGGCTGAGATCTACGCAGGGGCCATGGCTGCACAGGAGTTACGCTGGCTCACCTACCTGTTGACCGACTTGGGAGAGTGGCCTCGTTCTTCTCCAGTTCTGTACGTAGACATCAAGGCCATGATTGCCTTGTGTAAGGAGCACAGACTGGAGTACAGAACGAAGCACATCGCTCTGCATTACTTCCTTGCTCGAGAGCTGCAGCAGCGTGGTCAGCTTTGTCTTCCTTACGTGGCCACTCGGGCCAACACTGCTGATATATTCACCAAGGCACTTCAGTCTGGTGATCATCAGCGTTTCTCTACTGTTTTAGGTCTTGTGCCCAGTTTGCCTCACTTGCTCACTGCGTGACTCTGTTGTATTCTTATCTGTATATATTCTTGCATGCTTACTCTTTCTAGGGTTTGATCACTGTACTGTTTGTTCTCTTTTTATGTAACTCTTCATGTGAATTGGTCTTGTGGCCATTTGCTTGTGCTCGGAATGTGTGGTGACTTCGTGATCCACCCTGAGCTTGATTTGCTTTTCTGTACTGGTCTAGCGACCACTTGTTCTCCCCCACTTTGCCTACGGGGGTGTGTCAAAATGTTATAATGCTTCCATTATGTATGCTGTAGTGGGGTAGCCCATAAGGGGTACAACCCAATTAGGGTTAGTACTTGTACCGTCAGCCCCTGGATAGAAGCGCCCCTGAAGGTATAAAAAAATACTGTTTTTTAGGGGGTGCGCTTATAATCGAGGATTTTTATAAGCGCCGGCGCTTATATAATGACATTTATGAAATGTTTATTTCTTACACCAAATTGTAGATCACCTTCTTGCAATTTGAATCGAGTCGAAACTATACAGGGCTGGAATTGAGAATCTCGCGCCAGTTGGCGGGGAATGATTCCATGCCAACACACACAGTCAGAATGAGTCAACTTACGCTGCCGACAGCTCATTTTGACTGGACGCGCAGGCAATGAGCCAAGCGAGGTGAAGGGCATCGAAATTCAATAATGTGGGAATGGAAAATGTGAGTTTCATTACAACGATTTCAATACAATTATATTAAAAACAAACAGAGGGTGGCGCTTATAATCCGTAAGCCTTCAGGGGTGGGCTTATAATCGAGGGCCGGATATAAGCGCCGTCATCCTTTTATAAGCGCCGATGCTTATCCGAGGCCTGCGCTTATATCCGGGGGCTTACGGTAGGTACCATCTTTCTGTTCAACGCATTAATTCTCGTTCAGTATTCTGACAGTTTGTTGGTAATGCTATCAATCTTCAAGTAGGGGAAGAGGGATGAATAGTGAGGGGGGGAAAAGGGAGGGGTGGGGAGTGGGATGGTGGATGGTTAAGGGACATCAGTGCTCATTATTGTTGTAGATTGCTCATCATCGAGCAACTCAAGAACCGAGAGGTGACAGACAGGGCCTCAGAAGTCAGCGAAAAAAAGCTGATTTAGGGTCTGGACGCTGATTTCCCAGACGTGTGGGCGATGTGTTGGCTGATAATTCAGTTTTTTTTGTAATGTTTTGGCTGATTGTTCAGGTTCTTTTTTAATGTTTTGGCTGATTTTCCAGCGTTTTTTTACAAGTGTTCGCTGATTGATCAGACTTGTAACGAGAGTGTAGGCTGAAGTCACGCTATTACAGATTCGTGCCGGAGCCGTGAGTTTCGGCTGTCCAGGTACATCCACCGTCAATCATGCAAAATTTGCCATGTACAGCGCCGACGCGGGGGGAAAACGAATTTCCCCGACGCGTCGGTTGCTTCGTTGTCACCATCATAATGCTTAAATTGATGTGATTGGTTGTTAAACCAATCACATCCCTTATGCGCCAATCACTCACCACCAGTGCAGCACAGCAACGCACCGCACGCTCTCACGACAAGGACACCCACCTCACCCCATCTCACCCACCCCGAACCTGCATCTAAGTGCGTGCATGGTGCCCCCACGTCGCGCCGCGTTGTAGTTGGGTGGTGAGAACGATAGGGCCTTCTGTTATGGCTCTCTCTTGATGACCCCATCGTACCCACCCACCATGCGAGCTGCAATGTCAATCCCCGCCTCTCGCCCTGGTTTTCTCAAACCCTTGCTAGCAACGTTGGAGCTCGGCACGCTCTCCCCTTTCAGCCATGGCCGGCCTTGCAGAAGGCGTAGCTTGCGATGATGATGCAGGCATGGATAGCAGCGATGATGAATTAGACGGCCTAGAGGAAGCCAGGACGGGTCTTGATATGCTCCTGCGCTCGCTTGCCCCTGGTGTCCTCGCTCCCAGGCCTCCTACTGCAAAGCCTGCACTAGACGAGAGGGTGCACCGCGGCCACCCACCGGTTTCTTCAAGCCCGGATTCCATCCGGAGTGAGCCTGCTGCGCCGGCTGCCGTCTCCGACACGGTGGTTGTCGAGTCGCCAACAACAAATTCCACTGCCCCGCGCAACTTCAAGCTGAAGCAGTCAACGCTGAGCTGGGCAAAACCATCTTCGAGCACCGCCGTCGAGCAACCTGTCGTGAACAACACATCCCCTCTTCCATCCTTGGTCATAGACATTTCGGAGGCCATTGAAGCAGTATATGCAGACGCTCTTTTTAAGTACAAAACCAAGTGGTCTGAGAGGTTCTCGTGGCTTGTGCTAACCAAATCTAAATCTGGTTTCCCTGCTTTTAAGTGCAGTGTCTGCACCAAGCATGCCGGAGTCAGGGGACGATGTGGCCGGACAGGGCGAGGGGCGACCGACGTGCAGACGCAGGCGTTTCGCAAGCACGCCGGCACGACGAAACACAGGCTGGCGATGGAGAAGCAAGAGGCTCTGCTGAACGCGGCCTCAAAGCAGCCACGGATCGACCAACATCGAGCCGCCGTCGATGCTGAGAAGAACCGCGTCGTGGCGTTGCTCGACTCCATGCTGTTCGTCAGTTCCTGCGATGCGCCCATGGGAACATGGGTGAAGCTGGTGCAGTACCTCGCGCGCAAGGTGTCAGAACATTATGTTTCTCTAGTCTGCAGTGGGGTACTCTGTAGTGAGTACAACCCTGTTAGGGTTTGTTATATGCTTTCTAGTTCAATCATCCTTTCTCACTTATTTCTCTCGTCAATTCTCTCACATGGTATAGAGCGATTTCGATCAAAGGGCCCACCACTAAATTTTTTTTCTTACCTGCCTGTCGCGCGCGTCGCGCCTGCCCTTAACGACCCTTAGCGGCCCCCTTCGTGGCCCGTTAGGCCCCCGTCGCGGCCCCTTCGCGGCCCGTTAGGCCCCTTCGCGGCCCCCTTTACGACCCGTCGCGGCCCCCTTCGCGGCCCGTTAGGCCCGTCGCGGCCCCTTTCGCGGCCCGTTAGGCCCCTTCGCGGCCCGTTAGGCCCCCTTCGCGGCCCGTTAGGCCCGTCGCGGCCCCCTTTCGCGGCCCGTTAGGCCTCAGTCGCGGCCCCTTCGCGGCCAGTTAGGCCCCTTCGCGGCCCCCTTTACGCCCGGTAGCGGCCCCTTCGCGGCCCGTTAGGCTTGTCGCGGCCCCTTCGCGGCCTGTCCCGGACCTGCCCCGACCCCGGCCCTGCCCCGACCCTGTCGCGGCCCGTTAGGTCCGTCGCGGCCCCCCTTCGCGGCCCGTTAGGCCCCTTCGCGGCTCGTTAGGCCCCTTCGCGGCCCGCCCCGGCCCTTCCTCGGCCCCGTCCCGGCCCTGTCCCGGACCTGCCCCGACCCCGGCCCTGCCCCGACCCTGTCGCGGCCCGTTAGGTCCGTCGCGGCCCCCCTTTGCGGCCCGTTAGGCCCCTTCGCGGCCCGCCCCGGCCCTTCCTCGGCCCCGTCCCGGCCCTGTCCCGGACCTGCCCCGACCCAGGCCCCGCCCTCATGCCGGTCGTGGCGCACCAGGGGCCCGTGCACCGCCCCCCCCCCCCTTTTCCCGTCGCCTTGCGTGGCGAGCGGGGGGGGGGGGGGGGGGGGCGCGGGGGGCGCGCGTCGCCCCTTCTTCCGCCTGCTCTGGCGCCCTGGGAGGCCGCGGGTCGGCCCCCGTACTCCTTCCCCCCCCCCCCCCCTCAGGTCGCCTCACCAGGCGACGGGAGGGGCGACCAGGTGGGGGGGGCCACGCGTCGGAGCAGCCGCCCCTGGTACAGCCGCCCCTGGAGCAGCCGCCCCTGGTGCAGCCGCCCCTGGTGCAGCCGCCCCTGGTGCAGCAGCCCCTGGAGCAGCCGCCCCTGGTGCAGCCGCCCCTGGTGCAGCCGCCCCTGGAGCAGCCGCCCCTGGTGCAGCCGCCCCTGGAGCAGCCGCCCCTGGTGCAGCCGCTCCTTGACCTCAGCAGCCGCCCCTGGCCCCTGGCCCCTGGAGCAGCCGCCCCCCCCCCCCCTTCCATGGGGATGGCGGGGAGAAGGGGGGGAAGCTTGGAGGTCCAAGGGGAGGCAGGAGGGGATCTGCAGCACCAGGTCCCCCACCCTTCTCCTACCTCCCCCTGCTGCGGGTACAGCAGTGGGGGGGGAGGGGATTTGCCATCCCCCTGCTGCGGTTGCGGCAGTGGGGGGAGGGGACCTGCAGCACCAGCCCCCCCCCCTCCTCTCCGCCCTTTTCTCCTCTCCCTCCCCCTGCTGCGGGTGTAGCAGTGGGGGGGAGGGGATCTGCCGTCCCCCTGGTGCGGATGCGGCAGTGGGGGGAGGGGACCTGCAGCACCTGCTGCGCCCTGCTGCCCTGTGCGCCCCGTGCGCCCTGCTGCCCTCTGCACGCGCCATGCACAGCACCCCCCCCCCCCCCCCTGCTGCGGGTACAGCAGTGGGGGGGAGGGGATTTGCCATCCCCCTGCTGCGGGTGCGGCAGTGGGGGAGGGTATGGGGGTGGCGGGTGTGGCCAACCCGCCGGCCCTGCTGCGCCCCGCGCGCCCTGCTGCCCTGTGCGCCCCGTGCGCCTGCTGCCCTGCTGCCCTGTGCGCCCCGTGCGCCCTGCTGCCCTGCTGCCCTGTGCGCCCCGTGCGCCCTGCTGCCCTCTGCAAGCGCCGTGCACAGCACCACCCCCCCCCCCCCCCCCCCCCCCCCCCCCCCCCCCCTCCTTCTCCTCCATCCCCTGCTGCAGGTGCAGCAGTGGGGGAGGGTATGGGGGTGGCGGGTGTGTGGCATCCCCTGCTCCTCCTCCTACTCCGTCTCCCACTGCTGCAGCTGCCGCTGAGGGGGGTGGGTGTGTGTGAGTCGACGGAGTGGTGCTAGGGGGTGGAGTGTGAGTGAACCTAGGGGTGCAGCAGGGGGTGTGTGAATGGGGGGTGCGGCAGTAGAGGGAGGTTGGGTGGAGGTAGCCGTCGTGTTGCTAGCAGTGCCAGTAGTCCGGAGGTGTGCTTCCGGTAGCCCAGGGATGCCGCTGCGCCAGTCGCCCGTGGGTCCGTTGCTCCTGCCGCTCGTCTTAGCCGCGGAGCCAGTTACCCCTGTAGTCCGGAGGTGCGCCTCCGGTAGCCACAGTGCGCGCCGCTCCTGTTGCCCGTGTGTCTGCAGCTTCCGCCGTTGCCTCCTCTCTCCTCTCCTATTAGTCCAGCCTCCTCCTCCTCACTTGCCCTCTGTGATAGCCTCTAGCTTTGCTTATTTATTGTGAACTCTAAACTGTTACTTCTTGTACTTGTGCTCAGAATGTGTGGTGACATTGTGATCCACCCTGAGCTTGCTTTGCCTTGCTTCTTGTGCTGATCATACCCCACTTTGACTATGGGGGTGTGTCAGAACATTATGTTTCTCTAGTCTGCAGTGGGGTACTCTGTAGTGAGTACAACCCTGTTAGGGTTTGTTATATGTATCCAACTGCTTTCTAGTTCAATCATCCTTTCTCACTTATTTCTCTCGTAAATTCTCTCACACAAGGGTGTCCAGGGCTTCCCTAAGAAGGGATATGGCACCTACTACACATCGTGAGTAGTAGTCACATTTGTATTGCGTTGGTGTTTAGATGTTCAACCCTAAACCCTCTTCTCATCTCTTGTCTTTGGTTTCCCTGCGTGCAGGTACGGCTTCGGTGAGCTCACGCAGGCCCTTGCTACCTAGCTTCAGACAACTCAGCTGGAGCACATCCTGAAAAGCCCTTTCATCGGCATCTGCATCGATGAAAGCACGGATCGGCTCAGGGGGAAGCACATGATCTTGTACGCATCGTTCATCCGCGACAACATGCTCGTGACCGAGTTCATGCAGCTGATCACGGTGGAAAAGGCGGACGCATCTTCTCTTCTTAGCATCCTGCTTTCCCACTTGCAGTCCGTCGGTGTCGATCTGCAGAGAATTTCCGGCATTAGCACCGACGGCGCAAGAGTGATGATGGGGTCTAAGGCCGGCCTGGTTGTCCGCCTGCGACAGAAAATCCCGCACCTTGTCTCCGTTCACTGCATCGCTCACAGGTTACTGAGCTCCGCTGCTACGTTTTCAGCCCGTTACGCCATCTGGTTCGAGCTTGTGTTTAATTTCCTGAGTTTGATGTGTTCCACTTGCAGGGAGGCACTTGCAGCGAAGGATGCAGCAGAGGAGTGTGAAACAATAGGAATGAATGATTGACTAGAAAATGAGTTGGGTACAAATATGTAACCCTAAGAGACTGTACCCCATAGTATCTACCCCACTACAGCCTAAACAGGCTATATGATTAATGTTCGACACACCCCCATAGGCAAAGTGGGGGAGAACAAGGGGTCACAAGACCAGTCAAGCAAAGCAAAGCAAGGCAAGCTCAGGGTGGATCACAACGTCACCACACATTCCGAGCACAGGTTCAAAGGCCACAAGGCCAGTTCACATGCAGGATTATATATAAAAAAAGGTAAACAAGCAAGTGCAGGTATATATAGATCACAGTACAGGTAAAGTCAAGAGGTAAGCAAGTGAGGCAAAGTAGGCACAAGACCTAGCATAGTACAGAAGCGCTGATGATCACAAGGCTGAAGTGCCTTGGTGAAGATATCAGCAGTGTTGGCCTGGGAGGCCACGTAAGCAAGACGCAGCTGACCACGCTGCTGCAGCTCACGAGCAAGGAAGTAGCGAAGAGCAATGTGCTTCGTTCTGTGCTCCAGTCTGTGCTCCCGACACAAGGCCAGCATGGCCTTGTTGTCTACGTACAGAACCGGAGGAGAACGAGGCGGCTCACCGAGGTCAGTCAGCAGGTAGGTGAGCCAGCGTAACTTCTGTGCAGCCATGGCCCCTGCGTAGATCTCAGCCTCACAAGTGGAGCTGAGAACAGAAGACGAGCGAGTAGACCGCCACGAAACAGAGCCGGAACCAAGGCTGAAGGTGTAACCCTGTGACGACCGCTGCGTAGCCAGGTCGTCAACCCAAGACGCGTCTGCGTGACCAGTGAGAACCACTGGACTCTGCCCTCCAAGCACAAGCCCCATGCCCGACGTACTGCACAAGTAGCGCAACACCCTCTTCGCTGCAGCCATGTGCTTTGGTCGGTGTCTCCCAGGAGCAACATAGCGTGTCAAGATGCTAAGAGGGTATGCCAGGTCAGGTCGAATGCAGGTCATCAGGTACATGAGGCAGCCAACAAGCTCTGGGTACAGGCCACTCGGCTCTACGGATTCATCCGAAGGCAGAGCTGAGAGCGAGTGGCGAGTAAACAGAGGAGTGGCCTGAGGCGAGGAGTACGTGAAGTCGAATCGCTGAAGGACCTGCTGCACCATGTGTGACTGAGTCAGGATAATGGTGCGCCGTGCTCTGTCCCGAGTGATCTGCAAGCCAAGATAGTTGTGTAGTTCACCCAGGTCTGTGCACGTGTGTCTCTTCTGCAGCTCGGACTTCATGTGGGCGAGTCCAGCAGTGTCAGCCGTAGCAAAGACCAAGTCGTCGACGTACACGAGGATGTAGAACGGAGGCAGCAAGGTGTCGGTGCGAAGAAAGAGCGACGGGTCAGCAGTGGAAGGAACAAACCCAAGAGCTGCAAGCGTAGTCCTCAGTATGTCGTGCCACTCACGGGGCGCCTGGCGGAGACCGTAGACTGGCCGCCGGAGGCTCCACTGGGTACCAGGAGGAAACGACACAGTGAAGCCAGGTGGGCGGCGCAGCCAGATCTCCTCGTGCAGGCTGCCCTGTAGGAAAGCAGTGCTGAAGTCAAAGGAGTGAAGCTCGTAGTCACGCTGAGCAGCGACGTGCAGCAGAACCCGAAGAGTGGTCATCTTCGGGGTCGGGGAGAAGGTCTGAAAGTAGTCAACTCCCTGCCGCTGACTGAAGCCTCGAGCCACGTAACGCGTCTTGAAGACAGGCGGAGAACCCGGCGGTCGCTTTACCCTGAAAATCCACATGCCACTGACGATGTTCGCCCCAGATGGGGGAACCTCGTCGACGTAGGTGCCTGTGGACTTCCAGGAAGCCATCTCTGCATCCATGGCTGCCTGCCACTGAGAGGAGTAAGGACCCTCTATCGCCTCAGCGTAAGAGCGCGGGGTCGGGATGTCTGGTGCATCCGGGTCTCCCTCAGGGGCAAGCAGTGTGGACACGAGATGAGGTAAAACAGCAGCAAAACACTGGAACTCCTCCTGTCTGTCCTCAAGGACGTCTGTGCTAATAGCACACTCACCCCCGACGGACGGAGGACAGACAGACGCAGACTCAGCAACAAGACTAGCGGCGTAGTCTAGACGACAGTGAGCAGCGAAGTCGACAAGCTCGGCAACTAAGGCAGACGCAGCAGTGGACTCAAAGGAAGGGTCAGTGACAACAGTGGCTAGGAAACGCGTGACAGTAGGACTGGCAGCACGAAGGGAGTCAGACTCCGGGTCAGGAAGAGCAGGAAGAGAGGACGCTGGAGGAGACGGCAAAGGGACACGCTGTGACGCAGTGGAAAGACGCAGTGCCATCTGATGCGTGCCCGGGACCGCAGGAGGACGCTGACGCGGAACACGACGACTAGTGCGAGCAGGACGAACAGGCGACGCAGGACGCGACTCAGGCTCACGACGCTCAGCAAGACCTCTAGTAGGACCAGCGTAGGGAGAAGGAGCAGGAAGAGGGGAGGCCAGCTGTAACTGTGACTTGGACTGGACAGGCGGTGGACACTCTAAGGAAGGAGCAGGACGAGGAGAAGGCGGAAGACCAAGAACCTGCTCAAGGAGTGGAACGAAGTACGGCCGCGGCCGCGCAGCATCTCCAGAACCAGTAGGGACAGCACCAGCACCCCCAGCGTCAGCTCCAACTCCAGCAGCACCACCAGCACCAGGAGCACCCCCAGCAGCTCCAGTAGCGCCAACTCCAGCACCCACAGGAGCACCGGCTCCAGCAGCACCGCCAGCTCCAGTACCTCCAGCAGCTCCAGCAGGACCACCGGAAGACTCAGCAGCTCCAGCTCCAGTACCGCCAGTAGCACCTACTCCAGCAGTAGTAGCACCACCACACCCAGCAGCTCCAGTACCTCCAGTACGAGCACCTCCGGGACCCGTGGCTCCAGCACCCCCGGCAGCAGTAGAACCTCCAGCACCAGCAGCACCACCAGCTCCAGCAGCACGGCTCCAGCGACGAGCAAACCACTCGCGCAGCTCCTGTGGAGAGGGTAGCTCCCGCCGGGACAGAGCACCCGAAGGACCTCCAGGTCCAGCACCAGCAGGCTCTGCACCCCCACTCTCAGCAACCCCAGGTTCAGCACCCCCAGACCCAGCACCCAAAGGCTCCGCACGCTCAGGCTCAGCACCCCCAGACCCAGCACCCCCAGGCTCCGCACGCTCAGGCTCAGCACCCCCAGACCCAGCACCCCCAGGCTCAGCACACCCAGAAGTACCAGAGTCAACAGCTACCTTGACAAGCTCGACTGCATCTACCTGGGACACACCTGAGGGGACAGGACCCTGAGGGGGGAGGGGGTCTACCGGGGAGGGAACGGGCGTGAGGAAGAGCGGCGGGGGGGGGAGGGGGGCAGCGCGGTAGGGGAAGAGACGGTAGTACGGAATCGACTCGTCAAACGTGACGTCCTGGGAGGACAGAACACGACGCGAGGTGGGGTGGTAAAACTGCCAACCAGGCGCGTCAGGGGGAAAGCCAAGGAAGACGCAAGGAACAGCACGGGAGGACAGCTTGTCCGTAGACAAGTTACGGACGAAAACTCGAGATCCCCAGACACGGAACGCAGACGCATCGCCAACCTTCCCCGTCCACCGCAGAGTAGGTGTGGTCTCCGGAATGGAGACCCGGGGCTGAAAGTTGATCTGATGCGCCGCGTACTGAACCGCGAACGGCCACAGAAAATGGGGAGCAGCCGCATGGATCATGGACGTACGAGCGACGTCCATGACCATGCCAATGCGGCGCTCAGCAATCCCATTTTGCTGTGGACAGGCCGGAAGCGTGAACGTCTGGCGGATGCCCTCCGCACGACAGAAGGCTCTTAGAAGGTCGGAGGAAAACTCTCCACCTCTGTCGGAGTGCAGACGCAGAACAGGAAAGTCCGAGCCGAAACGCTCTCTGAGCTGGAGACGAGCAACGCGGATCCAGTCGATCAACACCTCAATGACCTCATCCTTGCGGCGCAAGGGGAAGACTGTGGTGTAACGCGAGTAGTCGTCAACGACCAGCAGGAAGTAACGCTCGTGACCCTGTCCACGGACGCGGGCTGGGCCCCACACGTCCATGTGAAGAGTCTGCAGTGGAGCCTCTGTCGGGGGAAACTCGGAGGAGTGAGGAGCGGCGCGCTGCCGCCCCTCGACGCAGGGAACGCAGGTAGGGGCAGGCCCCGGGGGAAGGGGAGGGAGGGACCGGGGGAGACCAGAGACAAGGACACGGGAGGCCATGCCTCGGAGGCGAGGCAAGGAGGGGTGACCAAGGCGGTGGTGCCAGAGGAGGGTCTGGTGGGACAGGAGGCGACACGAGCAGGGGGCAGACTCAGGACCTGACCGAGACGCTGCAGCAAACACCTGACTCGACGCAGCTACCTGACCAGACGCAGCAACCGGGGGAGACTCTGTGGTCAGTGTGTACAGGCTCGACCCCGGTCGACGGGTAAACGTGGCCAAGTGGCGGCCCGTCTGAGCACACGTGCAGTGGGTTACTCGCTGACTCGCAGGAGTGAACTGGTCGACCCCGGCATCCTGAAGGTCACACACTCTCGTGTCTGTCCCTATCCTCCGTGTGCTTGTCCCCCGTCTCCCGTTCCCGACCTCCGCACTGCCCTCCTTTGTTCTCCCTCCTCCCCCTCTCCCCCATCCTCCTCTTCCAATTCCTCCACTAACTCATACGCTTCCTCTCCTTCCTCCTCTTCATACTCTTCTGCTCCCCCAACCTCTTCTTCCCCAATTTCTTCCACCTCCTCCTCCTCTCCCTCTCCCTCCTCTCCTTCTCCCTCCTCTCCCTCCTCTCCCTCCTCCCCCTCCTCGCCTTCATACACGAACTCAACAATCTCCTCCCCTTCCTCTAAATCCTCCTCGTTCACATACTCATAAATCACTCCCTCCTCTCCCTCCTCCTCTTCCTCCTCTGCCTCCTCTTCCCTCTCGCCCTCCTCTAGTTGCACCCACTCCTCTGTCACTTCCTCGATCTCCTTCCCGTCTTCAAGACCCTCCTCATTCACATACTCGTATATCACTCCCTCCTCTCCCTCTTCTCCCTCTTCCTCTTCTCCCTCCAGCGCTACCTCTTCCACGTCGTCTGCCTGTGCTTTATCCATCACCTCCTCTTCTTTCTCTCCGTCTTCAAGAACCTCTTCGTTCACATACTCGTATATCACTCCCTCTTCTCCCTCCTCTACCTCTTCCTCCGTGCCCTCCTCTTCCTTCTCTTCCTTCTCCGCTCCCTCCTCTTCCTCTTCCTTTACCTCTCCCTCCTCTTCCTCCGCTCCCTCCTCTTCCTCTTCCTTTTCCTCTCCCTCCTCTTCCTCCGCTTCCTCCTCTTCCTCTTCCTTTAACTCTCCCTCCTCTTCCTCCGCTTTTTCCTCTTCCTCCACTCCCTCCTCTTCCTCTTCCTTTAACTCTCCCTCCTCTTCCTCCGCTCCCTCCTCTTCCTCCGCTCCCTCCTCTTCCACCTCTTCTGCCTGTGCTTCCAATACCTCCTCTTCTTCCTCCACTTCAACTCCCTCCTCCCTCGCTCCCTCGTCCTCCTCCTCGTGCCCCTCTCCCTCCTTTACCTCCTCGCCCTCCACTTCCTCCCTCTCTTCAGTTTCCTCTCCCTCTGCTTCGTCCATTTCCTCCACTTCCACTTCCTCCCCTACTTCCGATTTCCTCTCACTCACACACTCATACACCAACTCCACCTCCTCTCCCTCCTCACCCTCCTCCACCTCCTCTCCCTCCTCACCCTCCTCCACCTCCTCTCCCCCCTCTCCCTCCTCACCCTCCACCTCCTCCTCTCCCTCCTCTCCCTCCTCACCCTCCACCTCCTCTCCCTCCTCACCCTCCACCTCCTCTCCCTCCTCGCCCTCCTCTCCCTTCACCTCCACCTCATCCTCTCTTTCCTCCTCAGCTACCTCCCGGTGCTCCTCCTCTCTCTCCACTCCCTCCTCCACCCTCCCTTCCTCCACACTCTCCTCAGCCACACTGCTCTCTTCCTCCACACCAGCTTCGACCACACCCGTTGTCTCCCCACTCTCCTCTTCACTTCCCTCCTCACTTTCCTCCTCACTTCCCTCACTCCCTTCCTCCTTCCCTCTTGCGCCTAATCCAGTGTCCTCTGCCTGTCTGCCACATGCTTCCGGACTTTCTAACACGTCAGCACCACTTGACACATCAGCTCCTTCTGCCACGTCTGCACCTTCGTCCACATCAGCATCTGCCACATCAGCAGCATCAAGGACGGTTCCCGCCAGGTCAGCGCTCCCTGCCACGTCTGTTGTCTCATCCCTTCTCTCCTTAACGTGCCCCTCTCCCATCACACTCCCCTCATCGCTGCACGAAGCAGCATCTGCCTTCCCCTCCGCTCTCTCTGCACCACTCAACTCCACACTCTCATGCACTCCTTTTCCCTTCTCTCCCTCCTCTACTTCCTCCTGTGCCTCTTCCACACTCTCAGCGCTCTCTTCACACACTACTGTACCCTCGTCCTCACACCCACCAGCCGTTTCACTTTCTCCCTCCTCCACCTCACCGTCCTCCCCCCTCACCCCTTCCACAGCCCCCCCCAGTAATTCCCCCTCTCCTTCGTCTCCTGCCCCTTCTGCATCTTCTGGTTTCTCTAATTCTTCTGCTTCTTCACTGTTTGTTTCAGCTCCCTCCTCGGATTCAGTCCCTTTCTCCTCTTCCCTCTCTACCTTCTCCTCCTCCCTCGCTTCGATGCCCTCTTCCCTCTCATCCTCGCCTTCTCCTTCACTCTTCAAACTCGCTTCCTCTCCCCTCTCACTCCCGCACTCACTCTCAGCAGCTTCCTCTCCCGCGTTTCTTTCACCTCCCTCCTCCCCATCCTCGTCCTCTCCCTCATTCTCCAGACTGCCCTCCTCTCCCCTCTCACTCCCACACTCACTCTCGCCAACTTCCCCTCCACTACCACCACACTCCTCAATCTCCTCCCTCTCCTCCTCAATTTCCACTCTCTGGCCCTCATCTTCTTCTCTCTCCTCCCTCTCATCCTCACTCTCACCAACTTCCCCTCCATCACTACCACCGCACTCCTCGATCTCCGCTTCTCTCTCATCCTCACTCTCCCTCTCCTCACTCTCCACCCTCTCATCCTCACTCTCCTCCTCAATTTCCACTCTCTCATCCTCACTTTCTACTCTCCCCTCCCTCTCATCCTCACTCTCACTTCCGCTACTCACACTCACACTCTCACTCGCCTCACTTACTGACCCAACATCGCTCCCACACTCACTCCCACTCTCACTCCTACTCTCACTCCCACACTCACTACCCCTCTCACTCACACTCCCCTCATCACTCTCCCTCTCACTCTCATACTCACTCCCACATTCACTGCCAGAATCCCTCTCCTTCCTCTCTTCCTCCTCCCTCTCCTCTTCCTCCTCCCTCTCCTCTTCCTCCTCCCTCTCCACTATCTCTACCACTTCCATCCCCTCCTCCAGCTCCTCCCCTTCCTCCAACTCAATCACCTCTACCGCCTCCTCCTCTACCTCCTCCTCTTCCACCTCCACCACCTCATCTCCCTCCTCTTCCACCACCACTTCCTCCTCACTCGTCTCCTCAACCCCATTGTCACTGCGCGCCATCACCACCAGCGGAGGCAGAGCAAGCATCCACGCTTCCATCTCAGCATCGCACACACTCGCTGCTGCTCCCCCTCCTCTTGCTCCTGCTGCTGCCGCTCCCCCTCCGGTTTCCACCTCATTCACTCTCCCTCTTCCGCTTCCCCCAACCCCTCCGCTTCCCCCAGTCCCTCCGCGCGTGAGCGCCCTCCGCACCCCCTCAACCAGCATTTGCGCCTCCATCCACTCCTGAAGCTCTAGAATCTCGTTCACCTCCTCTTCCGCCTCCCCCTCCCCCTCATACTCCCCCTCATCCCAGAACGCCTTCCGCGCGCCCCCTCTCCTCTCCCCGCCCTCCTCCTCCTCCTCGTCTTCTTCCTCCCCTTCCCCTTCCCCTTCTCCCCATCCTCCTTCCCCCCGGCTTCCCGACTCCCCGCCCGCTCCCCCTTCCGCGGCTTCCGCCTGGCGCTTCTCCTCCGCCTTCCCCCCAATCCCCAATGCGGCGAACTTGGCGGCAGTGGCGGCAGCAATGGCCGCCGCAGCAGCCGCTTTAGACGACGACTTGGGCCCCTTGCCTTTCGGGAATAAGGAATCAGCAGCAGAACCAGAAGCAGCAGCAACAGAAGCAACAGCAGTGGCAGAAGCAGCGGAAACCGCAGTAACAGCGGGGACTGCAGGGGCTGCGGGAGGACCATCAAGGCTGGGAAGGGGTGGAGAAGCGGGAGCGGCAGCAGCGAGCAGAAGCACCCCATCCATGGCCGCTTCTCCATCCTTTGCCGTTTCTCCCGCTTCCGCGCTTTGAAGCGCTTTAAAGCCATTTTCAATCTCCATACCTCCCATGCTCGCAAACGCAGCGGCAGGAGGAGCAGCAGGAGGAGCACCAGTGGTGGTGGTGCCTGCTGACGTGGCTGCTGACGTGGGAGCCCAGCAGGACGGGCTCGCTTCGTTAAACGTCACCGCATCGCCTTCATCCAAGCTCAATAGCGCGTATCCCTTCCCACCGCCAGTGCCAGATCCAGCACAGCTGCTGGCACCTGTATCATCACCGTTACCGTCACTGTTACCGTTACTGCTACCGTTACTATTACCGCCGCCACTGCCTAAGCCAATCAACTGGCTCAGCCGGCTAGTGAAGCTCATACTCGCCAACCCTCCAGCTGTAGCAGCAGTTGTAGCAACGGCTGTAGCAGAAACATCAGCAGCAGCGGTGGCATGCGAAACGCCATTCGTTTCAGCGAGTTTGCTCAGAGCCCTATTCAATGCAGCAGACGAAGGCTCAGGCTCTTTAGAGGAACGCTCGCCATAGTCACACCCCACTTCCCTGCGCGCCCCGTGCTTCGTGTCCAGCAAATAAAGCGGCTCGTCAAACTCGTTACTGTCATCCTCTTTATTGTTCTCAAATCCATTTTCCCCTCCTTTCCCCTCCTTGGTCCGTGAGCCGTCGATGCCCTCCGATTCCGCATCGTAGCCGTTGATTGAACGGTTGGAGCTCCCTGATGACGTGGAACCGAAGTAGGTTGACGCGGAGTGAAATTCCGGTCCCGTGAACACCTGTGCTGAAGCGAGAGAGAGCGTGGGCGGCAGCGACACAGCCTTGGGCGGCTGCGTTGTCGTTTCTGCGCGAGTCCATGAGAAGAGGTTCCCGAGAAAGGAGCTTCCACCGGCGGCGGCTGTTGCGGCGCCATTCGCGGCGGAAGATGCGGCGCCAGGTGCGGTGCTAGTTGCGCTCGGGGCTGCTACTACATCCGAAACTTGCGCGAGGTCGTCAGAAGCCATCAGAAGAGAGGCATGCGGCAGAGAAGGAGCAACGCCACCGTCGAACGCGGCGCGGCTTGCGGAGCGAGCGAAGGAATGCGCAGAGAAGGCATCGGGTTCCTGCCACGTTGCATCTGCCACGTCGGATTGCGTGGCCGCTGGCGGCAAGGGCTCGTCAATAACAGCATCAGCGGAACCGCTGGGAGGGGGCGGAAGGGAGGCCTCAAGCGCGTCTTCCGCGTAGTGATTATAACGAGCGGCGTGCGCAGAGCCGGGCTCAGTCGACGACGAAAGAAGCGGCGCATCATCGGAATCGGCGGCATCCGCAGCATCGGCAGTAGCGGATAGCGAGGCTGACAAAGACGAGGATAAAGCTGAGGAGAACGGGGAGGCGGAGGTGGAAGAAGGTGAGGAGGAGGAATAGGACGAAGCGGAGGAGTGGAGAGCGGAGGAGGTGAGAAAGCAGCTGAACGACGGCTGGAGGGAGGGATGACGAGCGGCGAACGCGGTGGGCGAATAGAGGACGATCGGGGTGGACGGTTCAGATGGCAGCTCCTCAAAAGGATCGGACGGCGGTGAGGACGAAACGCCCGCCATGACACTGTCGTGAGCGCAACTAACGGATGTGCTAGTAGCTAGCGGGTGGGTCTGCGGCGTGACAGAAACGAAGGGGGTAGGCGTGCGAGCAGGCGGAGTGGGGAGCTTCGGAACGGGTAGCGCGACCGGATTGCGCTGGCTGCGCGGGTTGAAATCCGCGGTATCGTCAATCTCGTCCGTGCTGCTGCTACTGGTTGCGCTGCGCGTGTGATTGTATCGGGCGCTCTCGCCAGCCCCGCTCGTAGAGCTCTTCAAGCTGAAGCCCGTGTAAGGAGGGACAATGCTGCTGAACGGGTGTGACGTCATCGCCACGTCACAGCCGCTGCTGCTGCTGCTAGAGCAAACGGCGTCGGACAAGCTGCTTCCCCCGCTGCTCCGGCTCGCGCCGCTGCTGGCGCCGGGCATTGCGGCGCCCAAGCCGCGCGCGCCGGACCCGGTGGCCCGACTAATAGAGCCAGTGCCGCGGCTCGCATAGTTGAAGAGGCTTGCGGACGAACGCGACGCGGACCATACTGGCGGAGGAAGCTCCACGTGGTCGATTCTTACTGGTGCGTTCGCGACAGGTAAGTGCGGCTTGCCGACCACAGCGTGATACGCGGAGGGTAGCAGCTCCGACTCCTTGTCGAACGGCGACTCGTACGGACGCGAGCCTTCGCCGCGCCACGTGGCGTAAGATAACTGGCGCTGCTTCTGCAGGAGGAGAATCTGCTGCTCGCGCAATTTCTGCGCCTGCTCCGCTTCGAAAGCCTCCTGTTCCTGCTTCTTCCGCAGCTGCTGAATCTCCTGTGTCTCTTCCACTCGCATCGCACGCAGTCGCTGTCGCATCTCGTCCAGGTCCTTGCTGAAGCCGCCGATCTCGGCGTCGCTCGCGCTCGCTGCGATCTTCGAGGTAAAACTCCGCGGGCGACGGGCGACCCCGTCGCCGCTCGCCGTAAGGCGCATGGGAATACATACCCTTACTATGTTGTGGCTCTAATTTTTGTTCGAGACAAGTACCTGAAGTCTACGCGATGGCGAAGTGGGAGCTTCTTCTACGCATTCATACTATCCCACAAAGTTGACGCTGGGACGCCATAGACTCGTCAGTCACCAGAAATGAAGTGGGATAGCAAGGTGACGAAATCGATGGGATGCACTAACAGGGGCAGGAATGGGGGGAAGTCAAGCACGTCGATGGTTGGAATCATTCACCCAAGATTCGAGAATAGAGACAAGTTGGGATGGAACCTGCTGCTCACAATCCAACAGGAGCAACCAGGTTGGGATGGGAGGGAGGGTACTGGGGGAGAGGAGGGAAGGAGAGGGGCGCAGTCAGGCAGTGGGTGGAGGGGAGGAGGCGATGAGGGGGATGGACCAAAGTTGGGATTGGTTTCTTGCACGCGGAAGCGCGGTTGCCCTCGACATTGAATCCGCGGTGCGTCAACGACACCTGCTGTAATCGCGGGCGCTCTGCATACCGAGTCGCTTGCCACATCGAAGGGGCTCCAATGTAGAGGGACGTGGCTCCGAGTTCACACATGTGATAGTATAGAATAAGACCGTAACGAACTATTTCACCTGATCTGATTAGGGGTGTAGCAGGTACACGAAAAAATACCTCAGCAACAGCTGTTCTGGTACAATTGCATGTGTACCCAAAAGTTTCGCTCCATTGCAAATATTCTTGGCTACGTGGAGTCGGAACTAATGTATTGAGATTTTTTATCGCTCCTAGTAATTCAGTCTCAATATACTGTTGAACACTTAGGAATCACCTTATGGAAGACAACATTCCTGAGCTACAAACTGGTACCGTACATAAATTATTGCATTTCACTGGACGACGGATTACTATTGGTGACTGAAAAGTTTACCTGCTCTATGAGGCGATCACTTAGTTTCACAGTCCTCCTACAAGCAAATACTAACCTTCGCTACGTCCACCTCTGAACTTCCTTCACAGAATAAGTTTCGCCTCACCCTCCTTGAATTCCGGCTTATCCCACAGCAGATGCTGTTCATGATCCGCTCCTCCCATCAGCCAGCTCGCGAAGCCACCACCGCTCTTCTTGCCCTCAGCTTTCTTCCCCTCGCTTTCCTCACCTTTCACCGCACTCTCGTACGTCTCAACTCGCCCGCTCTTCCCGCCACCATTCGCGCCGTAGAAGGTCACACCCGCAGCGGGCGGTTGACCCATATACTGCCGCTTTGAGCCCGACGAAGGAGCAACGGAGGAATAACTCCACATGTTACCACCTGGGGGGTTACCAGGGTTACCAGCAGCCGGTGCGATTGGCTTGGCTCCCGTGGTCTCCGTTTTCTCGGGATTTTCGCGCCAGTGCATGGGTTCAGACGTGGCGGTTAACTCGCGGTAGAGCCGAAGCCCGCGGAAATCCAGCTTCGCTTCGCGTTGCGCCTCTTCCTCGCGCTGCCGCTGAATGCGCTCGAGCTCCTGCGACAGGTACATGTCGTCCTCTTGCACCTCGCGAAACCGCTGGCGAATGGAGTTGAGGTCGTTCGACATCGCAGTGACCTTCGCGCGACGTCGCTCGTGATCTTGAGGGTCGCTGACGGTTTCCAAGTACCGCGCGACGGCGCGCGGCCCAGCGCGAGAAGGGCGAGGGTGATACATATCCCGCTAGCGGATGTGAGTTCCTACGAATGGTTCTGTATAACGCCCAAGACAAGGCAAAACATACACGATGTGGGTTGTGTGCTTCCTGACAAGATAACTGCTTTTGAGAAAAGGCGGGTATAACGAACTGGACACAATCTGGAGGAGTTGCTGAAGAGCGGTCGGTCTGAGACAAAACCCGGGTCCAACACAGCTGAGGCTTTTGTGCTGCTCTTGTCAAGTCATATGAGCGCATCAAGAGACTAGGTACTGTTGCTGGCCTAGCAAAATTGACTCATCGCAGGGAGTGCCGAGAGCAGATGGGGTAGAGAAACTACGGCTACGTCACAAGGATTTCCCGCATTTCCGTAGACGAACGAGGAGACGAACCACTTTATATCACATCATATCTGTTAAGAGACCTTCTAATCGTCCGTAACCTTCGTATGCTCTATCGCCAAGGTCAATGGTTCATTATCACATGGAATGTGAAAACCATACAGTACGTGTGCCTGTAACGACTGCGACGCGATTTCAACCCAGGGCAAATTGAACTCGGTCACGCGATCCGTCCTTGTTGGCAGCGAAATTCCATTGTCATTGTGGCGTACAACACCAAGTCGCTGACTTCTCGAAATTGCTTCAACCCTATACCCTCTTAGAATTCCTTACATCATCAACTTAGATAAATGTAATTTCGACTCTATATGCTACTCTCCCACACGTTTCATGTACAGTTCAAAGCAGATAGAACAAGGAACTTATATTCTATATTGCATTCTGAACTAGATTTTTGCATAACAAATTGATCGGAAGCGTTGTGTCATAAGTTGTCTAGGGTTGTGGCAAACATGACCGTGATTGTGAGCCCTGAATTTGAGTAATATTTCTTCCCAGTCTATAAGGTAAAAAAAAAAAAAGGAAGTCCTGGCATTGGACAACATAAATTGAAAAACGAAATAAAACCATTTAGTATGGCCCATACAGGTTTCGAACCTGTGACCTTCGCGTTATTAGCACGACGCTCTAACCAACTGAGCTAATGGGCCGACGTTGATGTGGTAACCAAAACATATTTAAGAAATAAACAATTTAACCAACTTCTACGCACTTCTGGTTGTTGGTGAGGTCATTCGCATTGCATGGCACCAGCGCGAGTGCTACCTCTTCCCACAGCCATAGTTGTCCGCGATGCGCGCTCCGACGCTGTACTCGCGCAGTTCCTTGGCGGCAAGCCGGCCGGCGAGGTATGCGACGCGTTGGAGCGACTCACGGGGTCGCCGGGCTGTCTCGTGCTCGGGGACAAGGCGTCCCAAGGCGCACCGCTCGTGCTGACTGAATCGGATGTGATACAATCGGGGACGTACCACTGGCGAGGTGCGTGTCGCTGGCGTACCGAATTTCGCTGGTGTTTCTGAGCTGCTGCTAGCCTGTAGTCTAGTCTTACCGTCGTTCGACCCGCTTCAACAGTCGGACCGTCGGCCGTAGCCTAAAGATACGGTGTCGTTATATAGCGTCGATAAGATACAGTTAAGAATACGGTGACTCGGCGTTCGTCTGACTGGTGGCTGACGTGGCCGGCACCATACGCGTGTTCATGCTGAGCTGTCCAACATACGAAATTGGTTAGCTTGCGCAGAGGAAACGTTCCAGTCGAGACTAATATCTCCGTGACCCCCCTCGCTTGCTCTAATCCGATGCATCACCCTCTCCTTCCTCCTTCCCTTCCCACCCTCCCTTCCCCTCCCCACACCCGCACCCCTCTCCGTCCCACCCTCCTTCCCGACTTCCCCCCACCCCTGCCTTCCCCCCTCCCCCGCCTTCCCCCCTCCCCCGCCTTCCCCCCTTCCCGGCTTCCCCCCTCCCCCGCCTTCCCCCCTTCCCGACTTCCCCCCTCCCCCGCCTTCCCTCCTCCCCCGCCTTCCTCCCTTCCCGGCTTTCCCCCTCCCCCGCCTTCCCCCCTTCCCGACTTCCCCCCTCCCCCACCTTCCCCACCCCCGCATGCGCAGTGGCTGTAACGAGGTCTTCCTCTCAACCCACCGCCCAACCGGCACATCCCCCATACAATCACACCCGCCATCGTCACCATGATTGGTCCACGCAACTCGTGGCGTCTATACTCGCTATACTCATCCTCGGTTCCGGCATCCAGCTGCTTATCATGCTCGCAGCCCTCCCTTTCTGCGGCTACCGTTGGTCCTGTGCCTTTTCCCATTACCGCTCGTTCATTTCCTTTATAGACGGACCCTTTAAGGTGTTCGCGTTCGTCGCGGCCGTCCAAGCGGCCGGCAGAAACCCCGGCCGGTGGCTGTGGTTCGTGAAACACCTTCGTTTTAATCACGTCCGTTTGAATCCGTTTCAAGGATGGTTTTCGCGGCTGCGGATTCTGGGGAAGTCTGGATCGGGAGGAGCGGGAGGAGCGGGAGGACAGGTGTATCGAGGAGAAATAGGGGTCGGAGAAGAAACAGGGCTTGGAGGGAAGGGAGGCAGAGAGGAGAAAAGGGATTTAGGGAGGAAGGGGAGAGGAGGACGGGGTGGTAGGGGAGCGAGGAAAAGCAGCTCAGGTCAGGGAAAGCAAGGAGAGGGAGACCTGGAATCCAGTCTGAAGCTGGAAAACAGGCTCGAGCAAGGCTTGGTGACAAGTTCGGCGCCAAGCCTAACATCAGAAAGGGTTCCGGAAAAAGCTGGATCAGCGCGTTGTCCTGGGGAATTGGTCAACTCTCATGACTTGCTTCCCGTGGCATCCTGTGATGCTGGTTCACCCCGTTCGGTGCCCTTCTCCTTTGCTGCTGGCCTCAGTGCTTACTCGCCTTCTTTCTCCTCTAGGGGAAGGCTCTCTGGAAAGGTTTCTTCCTCCTTGTTGGCGTATGTTACTATGAGAAGATCGATTTCAGATGGCGGCAGTGGTGATGTTAGCAAGCGTAAGGAAGACTGATTCTGACTGCCCCCGTTTCTTCGCCTTTTGCGTTCGTCATCTCACATTTCTAAATCTTCATTCTAATATGCAAAACTGATTGCTTTGATCATTTGATAATCTCTGGACAGTACTTTTTCTTTATTGTAATACTAATTATACTTTCCTGAAACAAATCTATATGAGCCAGGAAGATCTAAAAACATGGAACAGGGGCTGCCAGTTTCTCCCTAGTGTTGGCTGGTGTGCTGTTGACCGCAAGTCGCTCTCAGCTTTAGACCCTGTTGACCCTGTTTGACCTGTCCGCCTGTTGTCCCTGTTGAACCTGTTGACCTGTTGTCCCTGTTGACCCTGTTGTCCCTGTTGACACTGCCGAAACCCCTAGCATGAGCATCAGCAGCACCACTAGAGGCCATGGCATGTGTGAAGTGTTTTGGCGATCTACCCCCTCTGCTGTCCACTTGGCTAATGCTACCACCCTGAGAAGAAGGACCAGGAACAGCACCAGCTGCAGCAGCAGCAGCAGCTTCAGCGTCAGGCATGGCTTGGGAGGATTCTATCTCCGCTCCCTGCTGTTGATCCGTCTAATGCCACCACTCTGAGCACCAGCAGCCGCAGCAGCCGCAAGAGCAGCTTCAGCGTCAGCAGCAGCCATGGCTTGGGTAGCTGCTGCCCTCCACTCCGCCTGCCGTTGTGCCTCTGATGAGGGAAGGCCCAGCTGGAAGAGTAAGAAAGGGGCCAGGAGGGAAGTAAAGAGTGGAGGCGGGTGGCAAGGATTTGAAAAAAGTGAAAAGGATGCCATGGCCTGGGTGGCTGCTGCCCTCCACTCCGCCTGCCGCTGTGCCTCTGATGAGGGCAGGCCCAGCTGAGTTCGGGGGAGAGGGGACGAGATGGGAAGTGAGGAGTGAGAAGGAGTGGAAACGGGTGAAGAGGAGTGGGACAGATGCCATGGCTTGTGTGGCTGCTGCCCTCCACTCTGCCTGCCGCTATGCCTCTGATGAGGGCAGGCCCAACTGGTAGAGGGGAGGGAAGTGATAGCGGGATGGATTAGGAAGATGTAACAAGGAGTGGAAATGAGTGGGAAGGAGTGCAAACGGAGGGCAAAGGATGCGATGGCTTGGGTGGCTGCTGCTCTCCACTCTGCCTGCCGCTGTGCCTCTGATGAGGGCAGGCCCAGCTGGGAAGGGGCGAGAGGGGCCATGAGGGAAGCGAAGAGTGGAAAGGAGTGGAAAGACATGGAGACGAGAGCAGTGGAGTGGAAATGGAAAGCTAAGGATGCAATTTCCTCTGGGGCAACTCAGTCGTCCACTGTGCCCCTGAAGAGGGCACGGCCATCTAAGGAGGGATGAAGAGAAAGGGAGTGAAAGAGGGGGAATTTGTCATGCTGTGCAATGGCAGCAACACGCTTTTTTTTTTTTTTTTTTTTTTTTTTTTTTTTTCCGAAGTTGTCTTGTAGCGTCGGTTATGATGTGATGGCGTCACTTGGCGTGGGGTAAGCGGAGACGAGAGACGACGTGGCATGGCATGGGTGGGTGAATGTTAGACATGACGTGGCATGGCATAGGTGGATACTATGCATGACATGGAACGGAGACAACGAATGGAAGAGGAAATTATTTAGAGGAAACAAGAAATCTCACCGCAGCTCGAAAGGCGTCCATCCTCGCAGCCTCCTTCGCCTCCAGCTTTGAATTTTGAGACATCTCAAGAGGAGTAGGCACTAAGGGGAGTGACAACGAATCTCACCGCAGCTCGGAAAGCGTCCATCCTCGCAGCCTCCTTCGCCTCCAACTTCGCCAGCTTGTTTCCCGCATGCACTGTGCGCTCCAGTTTCTGGTAGGTGAAGAGGGGTTCAAAGGGATTGACAGGGGTTGAGAAGAGTGAGTAGCCATAAAGGCATGAGCACAGTGTGTTTCCAGCTTCGACAGCTTGTTGCCCGCATGCACTGTGCGCTCCAGTTTCTGATGGATTGAGAGCGGTTGAGACAGGTTGAGTAGAGTGTGCCACCGAGAAGACAAAGTACAGCAGCGACCAGAGGAGAGCAGAACAAAGCAGAGAAAAGGGCAGAAATATGTTTACAGAAGTGATAATAATTGACGGGTGGTGCAACTGATAATTACTAGTTCTCAAATATAATCGCGCACTCCAGTTGCAGTGGTGACTGTGGGCAGTGCGACTGTAAGGAAAGCACTCACTTTCTTTTCCATTTGAAGCTTCTTTTGCTCCCTGCAAGAGAAAACGACAGGCAGGCAGGAATGGAACAGTGAATGTGGTTGTGGTGTGAGAGAGCGAGTGTGGTGTGAGAGGGAGTGCGGGGAAAGGGCATGGGGAGGTCGATGGGACTGAGACGGAAGGAAACGCAACAGCAGTTTCAGAGCAACATGAAGATCAGGGGACATAGAAAATCGTGGAAGGATGCGAGTGTTCCGTTCAAACATTATCAACCAGCCGTGTCTTTTGTTTGTTTGTTTGTTTTTTTGTGTGTTTTTGTGTGTTTTTTTGTGCTTTTTTTTTGTGTGTTTTTTTTGTTTTTTTTTTTTTTTTTTTTTTCGCTTTATTACTGATGCAAGTGCACACCTCCAGTGCAGTCAACGGATGCAGGAGAAAACACAGGTCCAATCACCGAATGCATCTTCAAAATTTTCAAAAACAGACCCACCTCTAGTCAACGACACACCTCCTCCAGTCAACGACCCACCTCCAGTCAACAGAGCCAAAGAAACGTTGCATGTTGGCCTGCTCGTCCTGTGCCTTCCTCCACTCGCCTGACCGCAGTTGTTCCTGGTGGGATGCGGAGTGGGGGAGAGAGGGGGGAAGCATAGAAACTCAAACATGTACGCAGCTGCATGTCTGTCTGCTCGTCCTGCACCTTCCTCTACTCGCCTGACCGCAGGTGCTCCCAAGATTAGGGTTCGTAGAGAGAGATTCCGAATGCGGATGGGTGGAACGATATGATTAAACACTCGTGCTCATTGAGCCGAGTAGACTGGGGTAGTGATAATTCTCAACCTAGATCATGGTACCTTTGCGTGCTGTGCGCGTTGCCGAAGCACCTCCTTCTGCTCCACCTGCTCTACCATGCGCGCCTGAAGACACACACACACAAGCCAATTCATCAAGCTAATCAGCTCATATCTACCACTGTTAGTGCTAATGCTCAACTTTATAATGGATAATTGCAGAACACATGACACAGAGAGTTTAACGACGAGAGGCTACAGCACGAAGATGGAAACGATGGGGGGAGGGCAGGGGAGAAAGGGGTAAGGGGGGGGGGTAGAGAATGGAGAATGTGACATGCAGGTCACTGAAGGATTCCTTGAGGTCGACTCACGAAAGAGGGTGCGAGCAAGGGGGGAAAAGAGAGAAGAATCTGACATGCAGGTCACCAAAGGATTTCTTGAGGTCGTTGCGCCCGTCATCATCCGCCCCTGCTGCTCCATTCGCCAGCATCTCATTCCCAGGCGGCCCCGCATTGTTGGGCAGCTTCCCTCCCACCCCTCCTTGACTCCCATCGTTCCCCTTTTCCTTCCTGCTGCCTTCACGCCTTTTCCTCTTTTTGTGCCTGTCTTTCTTTCTGTCCTTTCCCTTCTTCCTCCGCTCCTCCTTCCTCCCTTTCTCTGACTTTTTCCTCCTGCCTTTGCGGTTCCTCTTTTTGGTCTGCTTCCTCCGCTTTTCCCCCCTGCTATCCTCGCTATCAATCTCTTCACTACTATTACTGCCGCTTACAGTGTCACTGCTCTCACTATCATCATCACTACTACTACCACTGCTGCTGCTGCTTCTGATGTCACTCCTTTCTTCGCTGCTCTCATCATCTGATGTGTTGGGATCATCCTCTTCCTCCCTCGTCCTCTTCTTCCTTTTCCTCCTTGGTTTCTTCAAGCTCCTACTGCTGCTTGCCTTGTCTTTAGTATGCTTTCGCCTGTTGTGATAGATGGAGCGGGAGATTTAGAGGCGGGATAAAGCCACAGGAAGGGGTGAGTGACTTTTGAGTACTCAAAAGGCTTTCGCCTGTTGTGATAGATGGAGCGGGAGATTTGGAGGCGGGCAAAAACCAGAGGAAGGGTGGATGTTCGGTTTTGAGGCGCCTCAAAGATGGAGCAGGAGGTTTGGAGGCGGGCAAAAATCATAGGAAGGGGTGGGTGTTCAGAAGAACGCAGGAACAATTTTCAGCGGGTTTTGGAGAAAATTCAAACGTGTTCGCAATAATGCAGGAACAGCGTAAGAAGAAGACGAGATTTTTTTTAACCTGCTCGACAGAACAAACCCTCACCGCTTCTTTCCTCTCTCCACCTCATGACCCTTCCCCTCATCGTCGCTGTCGCCACTGCTGCTGCTTCTTTCACCGGACAAGCTTCGTTTTCTACTTGCGCTCCCCTTAACATCTCGCTTCCTGCTCCTGCCTTTTAAGCTTCTCCGCTGGTCGCGGCCATCTGAGTCGCTGCCGCTGGCACTTCTGCTCCTACTTCGGCTTATTCTATGCCGCCGAACTTTACGCTCCGTCTTATTCTTCGTACTCCCGTCAGAGTCGCTGCCGCTAGCACTCCTGCTCCTACTCCGGCTTCGCCTACGCCGAAGTTCACGCTCCACTTTATTCTTCCTACTCCCGCCATTCCTAGCCTTCTTTCTCGTCTCCCTGTCACGGCTCCTGCTGGTACCGCTTCCGCTGTCACTCTCTCTGTCTCTATCTCTGTCACTCCCGCTCCCTCCATTCTCACTAATTTTGTTGACTTGTTTCGCCCTGCGTTCTTGTCTCTCTCGTCGTCTACCCCGCCCGCCGTCTCCTTCCTCATCTGACCTCCCCTCCCTCTGAATCCGCACCTCCCTTTCTGCAACCTTCATTCAAAATCACTTATAATAAGTAACCAGCGGTCTAATTATATGTAAAGTGAGCCGAATCGGAACTAAGGGAGCAACGGATGTTATGCCTTGGCAGGAGCCATGCCACCTTGCTCAGATTACTGATTGTTCCTTCGAATATAACAATGCATGTTTGATGCCTGCGGGTGGTGTACATCCACTCTCTTGTGCCTACGAGACTTCGGGATTGCATTCAGCTAGACTCGATATGGCGCGTTATCATTTCATATGGGTTGTAGTACATCGTTCTCGTCATATATATGTCTACATAACAGCATACACAAATGGGTGGGCGGGTGGGAAATTAGAACTACAATTTTGGAAATGAAAACGTGGGTGGGGACGAATGTAACCACGTCCCTCTTTTGTAGGCAAAACAGGGTGAGTAGCGCTTCGGCTCTACCTTTGCTGTGTTGGCCACGTACCCCTTTTCACAATACAAAATTTTAGAAAGTGTTACATTTCATTACACATTAAAAAATTATCATACCGGTATTGTGAAAGTCTACTTAGACTGACTTGCAAAGGCAGCGTTATCATTTCATATGGGTCTTCTGAGGCAAGTGCAGTCGGGGCTGGCGGTACCGTTCGATTGATAGCTGATGCGTGGCGGGTGAGGGGGCTGTCGAAGGATCCTGCAACTACGTGGAGAGGGAGATGAGCTGATCCTGCGCAATTGTAACGTACATCTCTTTCGCGCTGTCGCTGCGCCATCGGCCCAAGCGTTTGAAGAGCCGGTCGGGAACTCCGAGGCTTGCCGCCGCAGTGGCTGCACCTTTGCGGAATGAGTGGGTTCCGATGTGCGCGACATCCAGTCCAGCCTGCCTGCCGGCCGCGAGACACCGATTTCTGATCGTGACGTAGGATGGCGAGTTGTCGTTCGGTGTGGCTTGCGAGTTCTTTGGGAAAACCCTTATCAGCGGTCCATGTGGCATCTTTGTGAGGCCTGCGATGCGTATGAATTTGCGTGTGCACCTCACCGGGCAGTATGGGCCTGGAATAGCCGCCACTGGGATCCAGTCACCCCTCCCTTCCTGGTCCGTCTTGGAGTGCGGGATGAGCAGCCACATTGCCTTCTCCTCAAACTGTACATCATTCCATTGGAGCGATACGAGGTCAGAGTAACGCAAGAATGCCGAAAACATGAGAAGAGGAATCAATCATTTCTGGTATTCCGCCGGAATTGATGATTCGAGGAAGGGACGGGCCATGTTGTGCACTTGATGGAGAGATATGGGTTCTTTGGTCCTTGCAGGTCGGGGACCATGTCTCTTGGTGAACTCCCGCACTTGCAGGGTGAATGGACCGACGGTAGGGGGAGGTTTCGCCTGTCATGCGGTGGGCAAAGGCTACTGCCGAACATGTAAGGTTGATCGCGGAGGGAGTTGCTTTGTTGTTGAGCGCATGGATGAGATACAGTGCTAGCGTCAGGTCGGTTGTGGACGAGAACGAAATTAGAACTACAATTTCGGAAATGAAAACGTGGGTGGGGACGAATGTCCCCACGTCCCTCTTTTGTAGGCAAAAGAGGGTGAGTAGCGCTTCGGCGCTACCTTTGCTGTGTTGGCCACGTACCCCTTTTCACAATACAAAATTTTAGAAAGTGTTACATTTAATTACACTTTCAAAAATTATCATTTGTTCCTTCGAATATAAAGATGCATGTTTGACGCCTGCGGGTGGTGTTTATCCACTCTCTTGTGCCTACGAGACTTCGGGATTGCATTCAGCTAGACTCGATAAAACGAACCTCTTTCGCATGGTACCGCATAGGAACGTGAAGAAACGAACTCAACCGAATTACAGAACTCGCTCACAATGGCTTAGTACAGTGAAGTTATCCATATAAATAAACTGCTTCAACACAACACCATGAAAAAGATACTAAATTAGTCATGAGGTTTTGGCTGTTGGAAACATATAGTTCGCGCTTCTGATGTCTTGAGCACTACAACGTAAGCGAAGCGTGTGAGAATCCCAACCACTAGACCATTGGGATAAAATGGCTTGTTAAGTAGCGGGTCAGTGCGCCCATGACCCCCCAAGACAACGAGCCTGTAACCATTCCCTATGATCAATCGAGGATCACAAGTGGACCTCTGACACCCCCCCGCACTGGGATGCCCGAAGTGCACACACTGGGATTCGAACCCGAGACCGCTCTGATACCATCTCAGAATCCCAACCACTAGACCATTGGGATAAAAGGGCTTGTTAAGTAGCGGGTCGGTGCGCCCATAACCCCCCAGGACAACGAGCCTGTAACCCTTCCCTAGGATCAATCGAGGATCACCAGTGGACCTCTGACAAAGCGAACTACAGCGAAGTAACAGCGAGTCAACCAAAGCGGTTGACAGAAAGACAACAGCAAGAATTTAAGTGAATGTCAAAGGTCAGCGACCTTTGACTCGCCGAAAAGCAGCGCGACAGCAAGGACACATAACTGACTCACTATTGAGCAGTTACCCGAGTCGTCGCTGTATCGAACCGCAACAGCAGTTACAGTTAGTTAAACCTTTCATATTCCTTTGTAATCATATGAAGATTTGTATCTCTTTGCTATTATCAACTTATCTTGTTCTCACATATCAGCGCAATGTGGTTCAATCAGTTCACTAAGACGCTTCCGCTAATACATCACTCACTACTTTGAGTCTTAGTCTTGAAAACGATCCTAAGGGCTTTTCTCAGCCCAACATGGTATGAGAGCTGTCAAGACAAAAGACAACTTTGTTCAAACTCCTACAACAACAGAAGGCATGGCTACGCAGAAAGAAAGAAGCTCGTCTACTGAATCTCCCGGCAACACTCCTACTCCACCTCCAGCTTCTGGACTACAGACATAGAGAGGCACAACCTTAGGACCAGCTGCTGAGTCCACTGAAACTCCCGCTTATCAAGCAACCGGCTTCGACCCAAGCATGATGGAGAATTTCTTCTCATTCATGTCGTTCTACGAGCAACATCAACTGTCAGTAGATCTGCACTGTAGATGCCCGATTGATCCAAGGGGGGTTACAGGCGCGTTCGCCTAGGGGGTTATGGGCGCACAAACCCGCTACACAAACAAGCCCTTTTATCCCAATGGTCTAGTGGTTGGGATTCTGACATGGTATCAGAGCGAAGGTCTTGGGTTCGAATCCCGGTGTATGCACATGTAGGCCGTTGCCGCTGTGCTCAGTCTTGGGCCTCCCGGTGTGGGGGGGTGTCAGTAGATCTGCACTGTGGATGCCCGATTGATCCAAGGGGGGTTATAGGCGCGTTCGCCTGGTGGGTTATGGGCGCACAAACCCGCTACACAAACAAGCCCTTTTATCCCAATGATCTAGTGGTTCGAATTCTGACATCAACAAGCGGCACTTGTGCAGTCAAACAACAGCGACAACAACAACGGAGTCACTCCCATGAGCCTTGGCGGTTCATCCTTTGCACGTGGAAATCAGCAGCCTACCTTTGCACCGTACGAGCCTCAATGCGGCTCCGTCAGCTTCATGCCAAATCGGCTCCCACATAGACAATAAACAAAGACGCTGGACGCACTTCAACTGCAGTCATAGTTTGCACACGTTCTGAAACTCCAAACGACAACACCATTCGACGACAATGATTTCTTTACCTGGTCCTTTGAGTTCGAGCTGATGATGGAAGGCGCTCAAATCCTTGGCTTCTTCGACGGTTCCCTGCCATATCCAACGCACGAGACGCAGTACGACAAACAGCAGTACACGTATCAGTCACTAATGGTGTACACCATACTCCTGCGAAACATAACGCCAAACGAGCAGCAAAACATCCGCTCTTATCGCGGATACGGTAACTCCGCCGAGCTCGCGTACAACCACCTGAAGAACCTGTATCAAGCAACCGACATCGTTAATCAAAGTCGTCTCATGGCGCAACTGACAACGGTCCAAATGCAACCTGGTAAAAAGGGAATGGCATATATCAGTCGCTGTCGCGGTCTGCGCGATAGACTCCTTCGATGCGGCGGATCAATATCCGAAGAAGCATTCGTCAATGTCGTTATCACAGGTCTCGGTCCTCAGTGGCGCTCCACTTGAG